GCGAGGCGTACCCGTGTGGCGCTTACGAAGCAGCGGGGGTCGCGACTGCGGCTAGCTATTTGCTGCCTTTTATTCTACTGCCCCTCTTTATTTGCATTGTATTTGGCAGTGGCGTTGCCAGCATCCAGCTACGCTACTATCAACGTCGCTGGCTCCTCGATGCGTCGTGGACAAAAGACAGTACCTTCATGACGGCGTGTGGGCTCCCCAACTGGTTTACGAGTCTTCCGCTCGACAAAAGCGAGGCCATCAAGATCGGCAACCGCCTCTTCTGCAAGCCGAGCATGCAAGCGCGCATGGGCTACGCCAGCGTCACGGTGCAGCCCAGCAACATCATTCACGTCCGTTCGGCTACCACGGCGAACGAACCGGCGTTCCTCCTTCTTAGCGTGTACACACTCCTCCTCGCCTTGACGCCGCCATGGCTGCGCTGCGTTGGCCCCAAGGTTTTCGGAGAGATTGCTAAAAGCGAGCTCCAGCCAGCGGCCACCAAGCGTTTGGATCCACGCATGGTATACGCGCACAGTCGCGGCTCGTGCGTTAGTTGAACAACTTTATTTCCTTTATACTAGTCAACAAGTGGTTTTTAATATAGGATATTGTACAGAGAGGCAAGCGGGGGTTCGTAGACCAATGTAGTACTGTAGCGTCACTGTCTGGCATCTCGACGCATTGTCATTCAATGCACTAGTTTCGTCGATCGGTGGACTAAAAAGGTTGTGCTGGTTTCGCGACACAAATAGATAACGTGTGCCCTTTCAACTCTGCTTCGATCGTGCGATGGCGTCATCGGTCACGAGCTTCCTCGGGCGGTCGGGCAACTCGACGCGCGCGAGCCTTACGTTTGCCGATCCCAAGGTGCCCAAGCGCCGGAACCAGCACCGAGTCTACCTTCGCATTCTCTCCAACCTCACCGCGGCCGCCGTCGTCCTCGTTTCCCTTTTTACGATGACGGTCCTGCTTTCGGAAGGCATGTTTGACCGGCTCATTCTCACGTGGTTCCACCAAGACAACACCGACTACTGGAACGCCTTTGGCACCTCGTGCGTCCTTACGAGCCAAGGCTTCGTGCCAGGCTCTTGCTCGGCGCTTGAAGTCAATATCACTGAGACTGGCGCGGCGTGGAAAGGCCTCGGAATCCAGCTCGCCAAAGGATGGCAAGTGCCTCTTGGAACGTCGCTCTACGTCACGACGTGCTTTATCGGTGGGACACCCACCATTGGGTGGGCCGCGCTCCAGTTCATCGGCGGCTACGATACGTTTCCCAGCTGCATTCTCACCAACGGCAGTCAAATCATTGCCGGCATGGCCATGGTCGAAGCCGTCAACGTCGATGACGTCTACCCCGATGGCGCGTACTTGCTTTCGATGTTTCCTGATGCAGCACAGCCCGCCACTGTGGTCTACACCAACACGGACAGCACGACCGGCAATGTCATTGAGAACATTCCCCGCATTCTTGTTGGTCGTGATGGCTCGACGCAGGATTATGAGCTGGGTGTGAATGCAGTCATCAACTCTCGCCCCCTCGGCGATCGGTACCTCGTTCAAGGCTATTGCATCTCGCAGTTCATCGACCTCGGCACCGATACCGTAGCGTTGAAAGGCTGGAGCACGGGGCGCGACTCACAAAAGAACGTGGTGACTGGTTGGGCCTGCGGCCACAAGGTCGCCAACGCCACCGAGCTCGTTCTACTTCAGGTGCTCTTTGGGGTCGTATCGATCGTTCTGCTCGCACCCGACATTTTCATTACGATCAAAGGCCTCCAAGGTGTCATGTCCAGCAAGCCCGTGCTCACCTACGACATTCTCTCGGGACTGGAGCGCCGCAAGACTCTCCTCCTCTTCGTTGTGCTCTGCGCCGCGCCGTCGCTGCTCTTTGTGGACGTCGCGCGCATCTACTTTGGCACGACCAATGGGCTTCGTATCTGGACCTTCTCGATCATTTCGCTGGGCATTTTTTTTGCGTTTGGGAGTTTTCTGTGCTTGACCTTCTTGCAGTACATTCCCAGTCTACCAACACTGCGGCATCGCTTACTGCCCATCTCGGTCTCTGTGTTTCTATACGCAGCGATACCTGCGATTGCCTTGAGCATCAACGGGTCGTGGCAGATCCTGTGCAACCTCTTTTACGCAGGGACACCGACAATTGTCATGCATCTCAACGGCGAGGCGTATCCGTGCGCGGCCTACGAGACGTCGGGTGTCGAGCCCGCGGCAAGCTACTTGTTGCCGTGGATTGTCCCCGCTCTGGTCATCTGTCTTGGGCTCGGCGTTCTTGTCGCCGTTGGCAAGCTCTACTACTTTCAGCATCGCTGGCTCCTCGACGCGCAGTGGGCGACGGGAAGCACGTTCCTCACGGCCTGCGGCCTTCCTCGCTGGTTTACAAGCTTACCGCTCGGCCGCCACGAAGCCATCAAGATTGGCAACCGCCTCTTCTGCAAACCGAGCATGCAAGCTCTCCTAGGTTTTGCAAGCGTCACGCCGCAAGTGCCAGCATCAAAGGCCAAGTCCGACGAGAGAGCTCTGCATCTCGTAAGCATCTACGACCTCCTCCTCGCAACGGCGCCAGCATGCGTCTATACGCCCAAG